TGCCATTGCAGCCTTCTCCTTCCTCTTAAGGGAAATTATAAATCTTGGAAGGTAGCAAAAGATGATTTTTATTTTTTAAATAAATAAAGTTCGTTATAATGTAACTTTGCTTAACATGGTTTGTATTGCTTTGTGATATTTGAGTGCAGTGTTCTAGGTGGAGCTTTTATGGTTGTAGCCCTTTATTCTGCCCTATGTGGAAAGAACAGAGAAAGAAAGAACATGAATCGAATGTTGAGGGTGCAAAGGATAGCATCTCATAAGTTGGCATGCATTGGAGGAGGTAATGCAGCACTTTGAAGATGATGTCTTTTTGAGTTTATTATTGTATAAGAAATTGGTGGAGGATATGTTCATGTTTGAATGTGGTAAGTTCTGTATCACTTTCTAGTGTTCTTATTTTGCCTGCTCGAAACTTGAGTAAGAGTTCAAGATCTTTAATAAATTGCCTACTTTACATGTTAAGCTCACAAGATATTCTTACTGTCCTTTTTTCTTGTTATTAACTCCAGTTTTTATCTAGCTTCACCAGTCTTTGTTCCTTACTTAGTTTATTATAATATTATTGTGGGATGCTTGAAATATGTTCCAAGGTATAATATTGTTGTGGGATGCTTGAAATATGTTCCAAGAAGGAAAACAAGCTCTCAATATAAGGTGTTCAAATATAATGCTAGATAGAAGTAGCCACTGCCTAGTGCTGCTAATTTGGATCACACACTATAACGTTAGCTTCTCATATTGCATATCTTGGGCATGTGATCTTTCTATGCTTAGGAAAAAAGCACTAGCTATCAAATGAGTTGTATAATCGTTTTAGTCTTGTATACATTTGTCTATTCATCTTTGACCTTTACATGCATGTTTCTAAGATAGAAAGACATTTCTATAAATAATAAAGTAAAAAAGTCTAAATGTCGCTAATATTGAGCATCTGAAGAGTCTACTTGGCTGTCCTGTCATCACCGTCAGAGCCAGGCTCATACTGTTTATCGGTAAAAAAGATGCATCAGCCTGCTTAATTCTGTCTCAATATTATCACAAAGATCCTTTTCAACTGACATAGATTGAAAATAAATTTGCTTATTGATCAAACATAATCTTCCTTGACCAAAGACAGTTTATTCTTGATACAACTAATTGTGAGTACGCTCCCTTTACTTTGACTGTGTAATGACTTGTACCCCAAACTATTTTATCGTCTCTTTCACCCTCAGGTTAAGATGCCACATGATTCCCACATGATGATAAATTATCTTTTACGCTCAGTTTACTTGAAAAAGACTACATTTCCTCTAAATGGGGCGAAAATGATGGCATCTGAGGTTCAGAGGGTATAAGTACTTAAAAAAGTCTAGGAGATATAAATGACTAAACAACAATACTAGTACAATAACGTGTATACACGATTAATCCTTATTGACATTATTATGGCATGGGGATGGCATCTGCTCAAGAGACAATAGTGCAATGGTGTATTTGGTTCTCAACTTCTGTCCAAGGCCCATTAACCCATTAACTTCCTGATTGGGTGCAGTTTATGACCAAGAAAAAAATTAAGTATCTAAATTGAAGTCTTAAGTTTCAAATAGAAGAAAGGAGAGAAAACATTATAAATTGTCTTTCATATTTTCTAGTCCAAAGTGGTTACCTTGCCGTTCGATTGGAACGATGCTTTTGGTTCTCCACCTTCTTCTTGCAAGGTATAAGGTTTCTCTGGCACTATAACAATATCAGCAGTTTCATCTTTGGACAGCTTTGCTACATTCACTGCTTCACTCTCAATCGGCATTGCTCCAATTATACTGCATAAGCAAAGATAAATCTAGAAGAATAAATAGTGTAATCAATCATAATGATGAAAATCGAGACTAGCCTCCCTCAAAAATAAAAGGGAAGTGTTCAAGTTAATGTCTTATGATAAATAATCCAATTGAAATGATACTAAATAGCATCTCTATGAATTGAACTTTTGAACCAAATGATGGGGGAATTCTATGACTATTTGGACCAAAACTCATCATGAAATGCATCTTACTTGAATTTGTCTGAAAATAAATTGTTGTTTAAAAAAAATAAAAACGAAGGCATTAAGAATTCCATTCATACATCATGACCACTTTTTGAGAGTAAAATTTCCACAAACAAAAAAAAATTCATTTAGAAAACATATGTAACTATTCTTTATTCAGGAAAGATATAATTATTGTAAATAATAGTTTATTCAGGAAAATTAAATTGATATGTGCAGAGGAGGAACAGACTGCACCATCATTTCTAAAAGACGATGCATTTTAGATACAGAGAGCATCATCAAACCCTTTGCATGGGAGATTCTTGCGGTCAATATAGAACACTGGAGAGCCAGAGGCAATGCTTGTTGGGTTTTGCTCTTTGGAGCCATTCTGGAATCTGGACTTATATATCCAAGTATTTTAGCAGTATTATGATATGAAGTTTCAGCTAACTGGATATATAAAACAGATGGTAATACAGAAAAAGAAGAATTCTCAGATTGGTGTATGAATCTCCATATCCTCTTCTTTTTCCCTGATCCAAGGGCTCTTATTTGTTCAACCAGCGGATGCAGTCTACAATACCTTCTCCTATCATGATACATGTTTTCTGGTAGACTAGATGATGAAAAAATAAAAATAGAAAATCCTACAGTGGGCCCTATATTGAAAATCATATAGGATGGAATGAGATCACAACAAGTGTCCACATAGATTTTAAAGTTGGTGATTGTATTGATACTTTAGTCTTATTGCACTGATATGTTAATTGGTGATTGCAGAGGCACAATACTCTGATTATTATATAATATTGGTACTGATTTGAAATTGATATCGGCCTACATGTCAGAATCCCCTTTCCTCCTTATATGGTGTTCTTATAGAGAGTCCTTAATAAGATACTTCCGTGCTAAGACTGATATTAGTTAAAGGAAATTCATCATCTTCTTCTCTGTGAGAATTCCATGGATCAATTTACGAAAATGTTGGGAGAGAAAAAGCCATATATGGCCATGGTCATGGTTCAAATTATATTTGCTGGCATGTCCATAATCTCCAAAGCTGCTTTCAATGGCGGCATGAACACATTCATCTTCGCGTTCTATAGACAAGCCGTTGCTGCCATTCTCTTATTGACTATAGCTATAATATTTGCAAGGCAATCTAATTTGTTTTCCTTTCATGGATTTGAATATGATTCATTCGTTATTTTCTTAATCTTGTTGAAATTTTTGTCATACCTAGGAGAACTGCGCCCCTATTGCCATTCAAATTGATGTTCAAGATTTTCATGCTTGCTTTATTTGGGTACTGAATAGTTTTTCTCTCTCGTTTCTTACTAGTTTTTCATTCTTTTAATTTTGGAACGGTTTTATTTGAATTCAGGTATGCAATCAACTTAAATATGCACAGCATCGCCATCAACCTCACCTCTGCCACAGTGGCTTCAGCAGCAGCTAATCTCACTCCTGTTTTCACTATTATTCTGGCACTTTTGTTTCGGTAAATTAGATTGCATAAACAAATCCATTTCAAATACAAAACGGAGAAATATATTATATTGTTCCACAATATTGATCGATATTATAGGGAGGAAATGATCAGCTTGAAGACCTGCTCGGGAATCGCCAAGGCAATTGGAGTACTAATTTGCTTTACGGGAACTGCCATTATCGCATTTTATAAAGGCCCTTATTTGAATTCATTCATCACTCACCACCCAATTCTCCATGGAAGTAGCCAAATTCATTCAACCACTCTTCTGAACAAAAATTGGATAATTGGGACTTTTCTTATGGTCTTGGTCACGCTTTGTTGGGCTTTATGGTTTGTGTTACAGGTATCAAATATTGTTCATTATCAAAACTTAATGTGTTGTGATACTCTGAATGATTATATTTCTATTTGCAGGGAAAATTGCTGAAGGAATATCCATCATGGATTTGGTCCTCTGCTCTTGTAAGCCTCTTCAGCTCACTTCAGTGCTTTGTTGTTGCCATTGCAGTTGAGAGGAGCCTGGACAAATGGAAACTACACTGGGATGAAGGACTTCTTGCAATAGTATATACTGTAAGTGAATTCACAACACTACTATTTATTTCACTTTTGAGTTTGAGTGTGTGATCGGTTGCATTTCACAAATACTACTATATACATGAACTTTTTGTTAAAACATAGTGGCCATCAGGAAATGTGCATGTGCACGTGTAGTAGAGTTTATAATGTAAATAGCTTCTTTTTAGATAATTCATATAGTACTTAATTTCATCAATGAAAACTGAGCTGAAAATACACTTTGATGATGCACTTCTCACTGTAGCATATGGCATAAATGAATTTGGGCGCAACATATTTATTTCCCTTCAAGAATTGTTGGTGATATGCATGTATTTCATATATGCTACCACCCGAGTGAGCTTTTGGTTTAAACATGGTGTCACTTGTGATTTTTTAGTGCATGTGCACGTGTAGTGGAGTTCGCTCGAAGATAACTTTTGTGTATAACGATAGAGTCCTTTACTCTCTTCTATTGAAATTAAACTTGATTTTGGATCAAGCTTAATTTTGGGTTTATGATGGAATTATTCTAAGTTTGACCAAACCCAAAATTAGGTCCAAATTCTAGAGGTTTTCTAGAAACACTCTAGAAGGTTGATCACCTCCTTAAAGTGTTCTAGAGAAATCTTTAAGCTAAATATCTAGATAATAGTATAGAAACATCTAGATAATTTGTGATAAAAATATTTAGATATTATGTATAAATTTCTGGAGATTAAAAAAATATCTAGGAACTATGGAGGTGATATTAGAAGAATCTAGATCCTTTGTAACATATCTTTGGGAGGCTATAAATACCTCCTCACCTCTCTCATTTGTAAGCAAGAAGAAAAAGTTAAACAAGTGAATAAAGCAAGTTCAAATAAAGAGTCTTCCTCTTCATAAGTCCTCTATATTTCTCTAAAAGTCTTTCAAGTGTTCTCTAAGTGTTCTTCATATTCTTCTTCATACCTAGAGGTTTATTCTCTTGATTTCTTTCGGGTTTCTCGGGTATTACGATCTTGGGCTAGTGCTAAGCATTATCGGTGTTATCTTTACATGGTATCAGAGCCATTCTAATCTTGTGCTCTTCAAGATCGGGGTTTAAAGAGAGCTCGGGTTTACTCTAAGTATGGAATCAATGGGTCGTGTCGTTGGATTGGGAATGTAGATCTTAAACCAATCTAACTACCGGTTATAGAAGTCATGTATGGAGTCATACTTGGTTAGTGAGGACTTATGGGATGTCGTCGGCGGTAGCAGCACAACACCACCAAGGGGAGATGCTGCAACAGCGGAAGCGACAAAGGAGTGGACACGGAAGAATGCCAAGGCGGAGTTTGCTTTGAAGAGGTCAATATCTTCAGGACTATTTGAGCATGTCTCAAGATGTACATCCGCAAGTGCTATTTGACAGACACTAGATCAATTGTTTAACAAGAAGAACGAGGCCTCGTCTACAACTGTTGGAGAACGAGTTGGCGAATGCGAAGCAGGGGGAGTCTTCAATCTCAGAGTTTTTCATCAAGGTAAAAAATCTTTGCTCTGAGATTAATACTCTCAATCCGGAGGAGTCGATTTCGGAAGCACGGTTGAAGCGGTCTATTATTCGTGGTCTACGACCCGAATATACACCGTTTGTTACTTCAGTTCAAGGATGGGCTACACAACCTTCCTTGGAGGAGTTTGAAAATCTACTAGCTTCGCAAGAATCACTAGCCATGCAAATGGCGGGAGTTAAAGTCCATGATGACTCGGGGAGCGCTTTTGTAGCGAGGAGACAACAAAGCTTCAGAGCCAAACCCAAATATGGTAATGTGAAAAATAATGATGGACGAGAAGGATCTTCTACGGGAGACAAGAAGCGATTCAAGTGTTATCAGTGTGGAAAACTTGGGCATTTCAAAAAGGATTGACGAGTCAAGCTGAAGGAAACAAATATGACGGAATCAAAGGGTCATACTGAAGACAAAGAATGTGGAAAATGTTTCACGGTCGAGGCTGCATCTTCAGGTACATCCACAGCTAAAAATCTTGGAAATGATTGGATTGTGGATTCTGGTTATAGCCATCATATTACCGGAGACGAGAAGTTATTTTTAGCGTCATGACGGGAAAGAAGCCATCATTACTGCGGATAATTCAATCCACCGCGTTGAGAAGGAAGGGACAATCATTATTGAAGGAGATGATGGAAGCCCAATCACTCTCAAGAACGTATATCATGTTCCTGGAGTAAGGAAGAATCTTCTCTCTGTGGTGAATGCGGTTGACTCAGGTAACTACGTTTTATTTGGCCCAAGAGACGTTAAATTCTTAAAGAATATTAAAGAATTAAAAGCGGACGTGGTTCACATCGGAGCACGGGTTAAGGATTTATATGTTTTATCGGCCTCAAATTCTTATGTTGAGAAGATGAGTACGAATGATAATGCCTTTATATGGCATGCTAGGCTTGGTCATATAAATATGACTAAGCTAAAGGTTATGATGAATAAGGATTTGGTTAACGGGCTCCTAAAGTTAAAGATTCATGATGAAGGAAAGCTTTGTGAAGGCTGTCAATATGGAAAGTCACATAGGCTTCCATTTGACAACTCCACTTCACGATGCAGCGCTCCGTTGGAGAGGGTCCATAGTGATTTGATGGGTCCGACAAGAACATCCTCCTATTCTGGGTTTCGGTACATGTTATTGTTTGTTGATGACTTCTCACGGTACACTTGGGTATACTTTGTGAAGGAAAAATCAGAAGTATTCTCCAAGTTTCAAGAATTCAAGGTTACTGTGGATGGAGAATTAGGTCAGAAGATCAAGACTTTAAGGACGAATAATGGAGGGGAGTTCATGTCAAAGGAGTTTCTCTTTTTTTGCCAAAAACATGGTATCAAGAGAGAATTTACATGTCCGTATACACCTCAGCAAAATGGAGTAGCGGAAAGGAAGATAAGACATCTAAGCAAGACATGTAGAAGCTGGTTACATGACAAAAATTTGCCTAAGGCCTTATGGGCGGAAGGCATGAGATGTGCAGCGTATGTCATCAACCGGATGCCACTTAGTCCGAACAATATGAAGTCTCCTTATGAGATGGTTCATGGAAAGAAACCAACGGTGAAACATCTCAGGATATTTGGATCAATCTGCTACGTCCACGTGTTTGACTCTCAAAGAACCAAGTTGGAGGCAAAGGCGAAGAAATGCATCTTTGTCGGCTATGATGAACAAAGAAAGGGCTGGAGGTGTATGGATCCAGAGACACACATGTACACCGTGTCTCGTGATGTTGTCTTTGATGAAGTTTCCTCATTTTATGGGCCACCTCAAGTCTTGATCGAACAAGAAGGTGGGGGTTCCTCCAAGATCGATGAACCAGTTGTTCAAATGCCAAGTGAAAGCGGAAGTCTTGAAGAAGAGACGCAAGGTGAAAGGAGGAGCACTGATCAAGAGGAAGATGAGGAAGAAGATCGTAGTTCCATGGCTAATCAACGGTAAAAAAGGAACATTGTTAAGCCTGCTCGGTTCAGAGATGAAAGATTTGTCACTACTTACTCATGCTACTTTGCAGCTCCATTAGATGAAGAGGAGCCATCATCGTATGATGAAGCAAAAGGAGTTCAAGAGTGGGAGGGCGCAATGAAGGAGGAGATGAATGCTCTCATGAAGAGCGAAACTTGGGATTTGGTTCCAAAACCTAAGGTACCGAATTAAGCAAAAAACGGATGGGAGCATTGACAGATTTAAGGCAAGGTTGGTTGCTCGACGGTTCTCTCAAAAATATGGAGAAGATTATGATGAAACTTTCAGTCCAGTGGCAAAGATGACTACGGTACGCTCACTTGATGGAACAAGTCACTACCAAAAGGAGAAGGTGCTTGATGGAACAATTGAAGCTTTGGAGGTTCGAAGCGAAGACAACGTTGCAGATATCTTCACCAAGTCACTACCAAAGGGCAAATTTGAGTTACTTCGCTCGAAGCTCGGGATGGTTGACAAAATCAAGTTTAAGGGTAAGTATTGAAATTAAACTTGATTTTGGATCAAGCTTAATTTTGGGTTTATGATGGAATTATTCTAAGTTTGACCAAACCCAAAATTAGGTCCAAATTCTAGAGGTTTTCTAGAAACACTCTAGAAGGTTGATCACCTCCTTAAAGTGTTCTAGAGAAATCTTTAAGCCAAATATCTATATAATAGTAAGAAACATCTAGATAATTTGTGATAAAAATATTTAGATATTATGTAGAAATTTCTAGAGATTAGAAAAATATCTAGGAACTATGGAGGTGATATTAGAAGAATCTAGATCCTTTGTAACATATCTTTGGGAGGCTATAAATACCTCCTCACCTCTCTCATTTGTAAGCAAGAAGAAAAAGTTGAACAAGTGAATAAAACAAGTTCAAATAAAGTCTTCCTCTTCATAAGTCCTCTACATTTCTCTAAAAGTCTTTCATGTGTTCTCTAAGTGTTCTTCATATTCTTCTTCATACTTAGAGGTTTATTCTCTTGATTTCTTTCGGGTTTCTCGGGTATTACGGTCTTGGGCTAGTGCTAAGCACTATCGGTGTTATCTTTACATCTTCAAGTTTGATTATCGAATGTGATACACATGTTTTTCAAAAATATTACTACCCAAGTGAACTTTTGCTTAACAAGAGCGGCTAAATACCCATATTGGTATTTTAATTCCACCCCAATTTTCAACAAGATATTTTAAATAGGCAAACCCGCTTTAAGACATTTTAATTGATCCAACTAATCAATAAGGCATGTTTTCTCGTCGGCGGGCAAATTTCCGACGAGATCTCGTCACGTGCATGGCACGTGATGTCTCAAAACTCATTTTTAGCAGCGGCGACGGCAACAATCTCGTCATATTCAGCCCAAAGTAGGATAAAATAACGGTTATGACGCCGTCTGAGATCGCTAACCCCATCGAATCGGCTGAATATGACGAGATTGTTGCTGTCGCCGCTGCTGCTAAAAACGAGTTTTGAGACATCATGTGCCATGCACGTGACGAGATCTCACCGAAAATTTGCCCGCCGACGAGAAACCATGCCTTATTGGTTAGTTTGATCAATTAAAATGTCTTAAAACGGGTTTGTCTATTTAAAATACCTTGTTGGAATCAGCTCAAAAAATACCTTGTTGGAAATTAGGGTGGAATTAAAATACCAATATGGGTATTTAGCCTAACAAGAGCATTCACTTTTGAGTTTTTTTGTGTGCACGTGCACATGCACAAATAGAGTTGATTAGAAAGATAATATTTTCTAGATGATCTACGTAGTGGTTTACGTTCTCAATGACATCGTAGGGTGTGATGATGGGCGGACTTGTGTTATACTTGCATACTTGGTGTATTCACAAGAAGGGGCCTGTTTTCGTTGTTATGTTCACTCCTTTGTCTCTTGTGATCACCATTGCAGCTTCCTCCTTTCTCTTAGGGGAAGTCACAAATCTTGGATGGTAAAGATGGATCATTTCTTTTGAACCAGTTGTTTTATGGTGGTAACGTTGCTTAACTCGGTCGGTTTGCTTTGTGATATTTTAATATGTGCAGTATTCTAGGTGGAGCATTTATGGTTGTAGGCCTTTATTCTGTCCTATGGGGAAAGAGCAAAGAAAGAAACAACATGAATTCAAATGTTGAGGGTTCCGAGATTAGCATCTCAAAAGTTGAAGTTGTATAGTAAAGGAGGCAATGACCACTCAAGATTATGTCCTTTTGAGCTGCCTATCTCATAAAAAGTGCATGATATTTTCAGGTTTGAGTATGTTAAGTTCTGTATTATTTTCTAATGTTCTTATTCTTCCAGTTGAAATTTGAGTAATAATACGCTTTTCAAGATCTTTAATAAAAAACTTTGACATGTTAAAGCTCGGAAGATACTGTTGCTGTCCTTTCCTCTTGTATTATATAGTCATGATTGAACTTTAAGCTATTATTCCAATTCTTAAATTAACTTCATTATTCTTTGTTCCTTAGTTTTTTGTATATTATTATGATGGATGCTTGAAATATGTTTTTTTTGAAATAAGGAACAGGGGTTCTCAATACCAGGGATTCTTCAAATACAATTACAAATACAAGTAGCCACTACCTGGTGCTGCTAAAATTTGGACGGTGCTCTGTTAAAGTTATCCTCATAATGGGCTAAATACCCGTATTGGTAATTTAATTCCATCCTATTTATCAAAAATGTATTTTAAATAGGCAAACCTGTTTTAAGGCATTTTAATTGATTCAACTTACCAACAAGGTACTTTTTCTCATCGGCAATCAGTTTTCCGGCGAGAGCTCGTCACATGCGTGGCACGTGATGACTTAAACTGTTTTTTAGCTACTGATGTGGCACGGATTTTCTGACGTGACAGTGTTTAAAGGCGGGAATTAACCCTCTAAAAATCCCAATTCACTCAGAATAGGACAGATCCGTACCACATCAGCAGCTAAAAAACAGTTTAAGTCATCACGTGCCACGCACGTGACGAGCTCTTGCTGGAAAACTGGTCGCCGACAAGAAAAATGGCCTTGTTGGTAAGTTGAATCAATTAAAATGCCTTAAAGCAGATTTGCCTAATTAAAATACCTTCTTAGTAAATGAGGTGGAATTAAAATACCAATATGGGTATTTAGCCTCTCATAATGTATATGTTGGGCATCCTTTATTCTTGCATAGATTTACTTGTCCATCTTTGATCTTTCCTTCCGTGATTTTAAAGTAAATTCAAAAGGTTTATGCTAAATATAGCTAGTATCAGAATCCAAAGAATCTATTTGCTATAATCATCATTAGAGCCAGGCTTATACTGCTTATTGCTAAAAAATATATGCATCAACCTACTTAATTTGTATTCAAAACTGTCACGAAGATTCTTTTGCACTCTGGACAATGTTATATGCAAGCTTGCGATCAATGACAATATGGACCCAAAAATTTTAGGTGCCTATTTGTATGTATTTGTTCTATGTGATGTTCTTGAGCCCTCTCGCTTTCTTTCTTGAAGGCTCATAGATTTTGAATTTTAGGGTTCAGTCAACATTTTGTTTTGATAGCCTTCAACGTCCCTAAAGTAATATTTATAATTATGTCCTAAATTTTGGATTTTGATCGTCTTTCTAGCGTGCGCAGTCAATTTCTCCTCTTGACGGTGGAGTTGGCCGCCCAAATCCATGGCAATGGCGTCGAGAGAGAGCAGCTTCTGCTTTTTCCTCATCAAGAAGTCAAGATCCAGTGAATCAGCAGGATAAGGGTAAAAGACCTTTGTCGATGGTTGATGAAGAAAAAATTTCTTAATTTCAAGATCAAGGTCCAAGAGATTATGGAGATCTAGAGGCAGAACTGAAAGTTTCTGGTGAACGTCCTCGTTTCTTTTCTGCCTTTCTTCGTTTTGAAGGGGAGGTAAATTCTGACTTTCAAAAATTCAGAAATTTTGCGATTATTTCGTTTGTTGAGGGGGGAAGTATTTCTCTTGAAAGGTTGGAACTAGATCTTAGGGATCTTTTCCCTATGAATAAATACTGGGATTTAAGACTTTTTACTAATGGGGAAGTGTTGGTTAGAATTCAACCATGGAAACAAATGGAAGATTTGATAAAAATGGGGGTTATTTCACTTCGTTCTTGTAAGATTAAGCTTACATGGAAACAAATGGAAGATTTGATAAAAATGGGGGTTATTTCACTTCGTTCTTGTAAGATTAAGCTTATGAGATGGAATTCTTGGGAAGGAAATGTTATTGAAAAGAGAAATTCACAGGTCTGGATCAAATTGAAGGGTGTTCCTCCTCATTTATGGAGTAAAGAAGCTTTTGGTTTGATGGTGAAACCCTTTGCTGATTTGGTCGATCTTGATCCATTGACAAGTGCTGGTACTGCTTTAGTTGATGCAGTTGTGCTAGTTAGATGTTTGGAATATGTTGATGTTCCTAAGCTTTTGAAGATTTTTGTTGGGAAAAATCAATACAATGTGGAAGTGTCTATTATGTCAGTAATGGGTGAGTTTGTGGAAGCAGAACAGAAAAAACAAAAAGTGGATCATTTAGATGATAACAATCAGAGTTCCTATAATGATAGGTGGTTCAAGGAGAGAAAAGATAGTGGAACTGGGTCCTCTTCTTTGAAAGATTCTGGTTCTAACTCTTGGAATGTAAGACAATATTTGAGAAATAACCCTTGGGGCACTCCAGCAGCTAGATTGTGGACTGAAGCTAAAAGTTTTTACCAGAAGAAAAATAATGAATGAGAGAAATGGGAAAATAATAATTCTTTAAAAAATTTAGGAGGAGAGCAAATCCCAGAGCAAGGGATTCCTTCTGAAAATATTGACATTTCAGAGCAGCTGGTTGAGGTAGAGGAAAGTAGAGAAAAAGTTGGTGAACTGGAGATGGAGGAGCATTTGTCTACTGTGATCCCTGAGCAGAATGAAGAGAAAATTCTTAGGGAGAATGATAATGGCAAAGCTATTATGATTAGTGAGGGCAATGTTAATTTTTCTCTTGCTGTGGAGGAAAGTGATACTGTTAAGTTTGATTTGGAGTTAAAAAATCTATTATCTCCCAAAAATTCTGCACAGGAAGAAAATTCTTTAAGGGTGAATGATAAAGGTAAAGATTTGTTGGTCACTGAAGGTAATGTTGGAGACATTTTGTTGCCAGAGATATCTCAAGAGATATATAACAAGGAGAATGAGAAAGAAGAAATCCTTATGATTCAACCTCTTAATTGCTTGCCTCCTGTGGATCAAGAGCTTAATTCAAAAATTACATTTGTTAGAAGGTGTTCCAGATTTGTGGATCTTGAGCCTATGTCTGCAGTAGATAGAGCATCTGCAAGAGCTGCTTCAAAATATGATTATGCTCATGGGTCCTCTTCAGGTGGTTCAGGTGATAATCCTTCTAATCTGGGTTCCTCTTTTGTTCCTATTTTGTTTGAATCTTTTACTAATAAAGAGTTGCAAAGTTTGGCATCAAAATGTGCTATCATCCTTGAACCTCAAGGGGATTTTGATCCCTTAAAAAAATGAGGCAAATGGAGAAGGAGAGGGCTACTTTGGAGTAGGCCCTGCTTCCTTTTATTAATGTGAAGTGTTTTGTATTTTTACATGTTGGTCACATGGAATGTAAGAGGGCTTGGCTTGAGTACTAAAAGGTTTGGGGTGAAGGATTTTTGTTTGTTAAATAAGTTTGAGGTTATTTGTCTTCAAGAAACTAAATTGAGTGACGTTGATGATAGAATCTTAAAAAGTTTGGGCAGTAATATGTATGACTGGGTTTTTTAACCCTCTATTGGAGCTTCAGGAGGTATTATGATTGGATGGAATAATAGCAAATGGATGAAAATCCAAGATTTATCTGGTGAATATGTTTTGACAGTCATGTTAAAAAATAAGAGAAATGGTTTTGTTTGGTCTATCTCTTCTGTGTATGGTCCTCATTGTAATATAGAGAGGTCCTTGTTTTGGCAAGAACTTAAGAATGTGAAGACAATGTTTTCAGGACCTTGGGTGGTTGTGGGGGATTTCAATGTCACTTTTAGTGCAGATGAAAGAAAAGGTAAAAAGAATCATAGAAAAGAAATGGAAGAGTTTCGTGAGGTGATTAATGATTTAGAATTAATTGACAGTCCACTGCATGGTAGAAAATTCACTTGGAGTAATAAAAGAAGAGCACCTTCTATGGCTAGATTCGACAGAGTTTTTTTTAACTCTGAATGGGAAGATGTTTTTCCATTTTCTAAGCAGCATGGTCTTAGTAGTCAATTATTTGATCATGCTCCCATTTGTTTTGATAGTGGAGAAAACCAACAGTTTGTTAAAAAATTCAGATTTGGGAAAATTTGGTTACAATCTGATGATTTAAAAAAGGGGGTACCTGTGTGGTGGAACTGTGCACCTAAAAGTTCATCTGCTGCAAAAAATATTGTTGGCAAATTGAGATTTCTGAGAAAATGTATTAAACATTAGGTTCATTCTGACTTTTATAGTGTTAAACAGAAAAAAAAGGAGTTGTTGGATAATTTGTTGGAATGGGAAGTTGTGGAAGAAAATAGAGATCTGGATGATGATGAACTGATCAAGAAAAATGACATTTCCACTCAGTTGAATGAGATTTTATTTCAAGAAGAACAAATGTGGAAACAAAGATCAAAAGCACATTGGCTTAAGGAAGGGGGTAATAATACTGCTTACTTTCACAAAATTGCAAATGGCAGGAAAAGAAATAATCTGATTGCCTCAATTACAATGAATGATGTAGAGGTCAGTTCTGAAGAGGGTATAGCACAGATTTTTTCTAATCATTACAGTCAGATTTTTGGTAAAAATGAGGCTTATAGATGTCAGCTTGACTAGAATAAGCTTTTTCCTTTGGAGGATTGGGGGCCTAATGATATTGAACATCCTTTTTCTGAGGAGGAAGTGCATAAAGCTTTGTTTGATATGAATGGAGATAAATCTCCTGGTCCAGATGGCTTTTCTGCATTGTTTTTCCAAACTTTTTGGGAAACAGTCAAAAATGATATTATGAAATTGTTTGAGGAATTTTATGAAGGCAAATTAGAAATAAATAGGCTCAATTATGCTCATATTGTGCTTATTCCCAAAAAAATGAGGCTTCTACGGTTTCTGATTATAGACCTATCAGCCTCCTAAATGTGATTTATAAAGTGATTACTAAAGTTTTGACTAACAGATTGAATTCTAAGCTTGATATGCTTATTGATCCTGTTCAGTCTGGTTTCATAAAAAATAGATTTTTGATGGATGGGGTAGCAGCAGCTCAGGAAATTATAAATGATTGTTTTCAGAATAACAAAAGGGGAGGGATTCTTTTAAAGTTAGATTTTGTAAAGGCATATGATATGCTAAACTGGGACTTTATCTTGGAGGTTATAA